GCTTGAATGTGCCTAAAACGAAAGATAGAGAGCACAGACGGATTTCTGCACAGCGGCTTCAAACGTTGATAGCGTTCTGCTCACAGCTGCAAATGACTTGATTCAAATTGGATCTGGAGCGTCTTCACGTCGTCTACAATTATCAATTTAGATTGCACGATTTGATAAAGAATTGACGACACAGCGTCGGTTTGAACGAACGGTACTATGGCAGCCACTATAGTCTTAGAACACAAGATAGGAAGAGTTACGAGTTGGGAATGACTCCCAGCTCCTACAAACCCCAAGAGCCGAGGTACAGTGATGTGGAACAGTGCCACACTGTCCCCAACCACGAAGGGTCTCGAAACTACCCTTCACTAGGGCCTACACCAAGTGAAATGTTACACTACACAAAGTAATGTAACTATCTTCAATATCTTGAGGTGTACCCTTTTGGCAAGCTTCGAAATCACTTGAGGCTTGACACCAAGGCTCGGGCTCTTCATCACAAACTCATCCTTGAGTTCTTGATGGGTCTGCTGCACACACCTGCGACACGCCGAACGTTCGACACAGGACAAAATAGAAACCGCGCACGACAAAATAGAAACCGCGCGCGAGACACAAACGACCGCGTAACACGCGTCTAGCGATAACTCGCTATTGACTCGACACACACACTCGACATCATGACTCAACATTCACACACAATTATAAGCATGAAATATATATTATCCCATGCCCTCATACCATTCCATACACACACACATTCACGCACACGGACAACAAGCCGAGTGCAAACCGTAGGGTTGCACCAACAAACTCCCCCTCGGATTGTTGGCCTTAGGTTATGTTGCTCTCTCAGTTCAGAGCCATCCCAGCCAGCTTGCAACACTTCCAATGCTGCTGCTCCACCAGCCTCTTGGTCATCATGTCAGCCGGCTGCCCCGTGGTCTTCACGTAGCGCAACTCAACTTCACCCGCGGTTACCATGCTCCTCGTCCAATGCCACTTCACCCTCATGTGCTTCGTGAGTCCATGCAACACAGGGTTCTTAGCAAGAGCAATGGCACCCTGGCTGTCACAGTACAGTGGGGTAGGTCCTTGCTGCTCCTCCCCCAATTCAGCCAACAAACGCCGCTGCCACACAATCTCCCGTACGGCACGGAAGAGTGCCATGTACTCGGACTCCACCGAGCTCAAAGCTTGGTCAACCTGCTTCTTGCTCTCCCAAGCAGTTGGGCCTCCACCAACACAGCATATGAAGCCTCCCACACTTGTCATGTCCTCTGGTTCTGATGCATATGAAGCATCCGAGTAGGCGGTGAGGAACAAACGCCTTTTGGCGCCTTTGTGCCGCCGCCGAGTATTGCAGCCCAACGGTCGGTGTTTGGCCAAGATACTTGGCCACCCTCATTCCAGCTGCTACCTGCTCCTCATTAGGGCATTGCACAACCCTAGCCAGCTGCCCGGTAGCAAACGCGACGTCCGGTCGGGTGTTTACCGCCGCATACATGAGGCTGCCCACCAACGAGTGAAATCGGCGCCTCTCCTCTTCACCAACGCTCTCCTCCTCTGGTCCCTTCACACACTTGAACCCAGAGGGAAAGGGTGTAGCCACATGGCCTTCACTCTGCCCAAAGTTGGCAGCCAATGCCTCCAGGTACTTTCGTTGATGCACCCGCATGCACCGCTTCTCCACATCTCGTTCGATGTGGAGCCCAAGGTAGAAGCTCACGTCACCAAGGGCCTTGCACTTGAACTTGTCTTGAAGCTTCAGCATCACCTCCTTCACAAGGTCAGAAGAGGGTGAGAAAATGAGGATGTCATCCACATAAACCACCATGAAACTCCTCTGCTCCCCCTCGCCAAGCATGAACAAGGAGTGATCGGCCGTTGAGGGAGTGAAGCCGATCCCCTCCAACAATTCGCGCAGCTTCATGTACCATTGCCTAGGGGCCTGCTTCAGCCCATAGAGGGCCTTCTTCATCTTCCACACTCTGCCACTACCATCATCAAACCCCTCTGGCTGCGCCATAAAAATCTCCTCCTCAAGGATGCCGTTAAGGAATGCCGTTACGATGTCCATTTGCTTTACTACCCATCCTTTGATGGCGGCTCCCGCGAATAGGGTTCGCAGCGTCGTCGGCTTCACCACAGGGGCAAACAGCTCCTTGAAGTCCGCTCATTCTCCTTAGCGCGACCGTTCGCGCCATCGTCGCTACCGACCGCTCCATCCTTGGTGCTGATGCTTGCTGCCACTTGCCTCTCCTTAGGCATAGGGACCACTGGGATCTGCCACATCTCGTTTTAGACATCCCTGTCCTCATGAAGGTCCCAAAGAATTCGATCGCCAAGCCTTGCGGTGTAGGTCTTGGCTCCCTTCGAGTTCGTGTCCATGCCGGCCTTTGCCAACCGCCGCACGGAAATCAGGTTTGCAGCAAGGCTGGGCACCCAAAGCACGTTCTTGAGGCCCACCATCTTCCCATCAGCACCCTTGAACATGGCCTTGCCCATGCCTTTCACCTCTGCTCGCTGCCCCAAAGCCGATGTGACATGCTTCACCGGTGACGGCTCGAGTTCGGTGAGCAAGTCCGGGCGAGGTGTCATGCTATAGGTAGCGCCACTATCAATCACCCAATAGTCCAGGGGGTGTAGGGTCACCTTCCCCACAGCTGCTGGCTCCTCAAAGCCTTCATCCTTCTCTGGACCAGCCGGTACTTGCGTCGACACGAAGTAGAATAGACCCGGGTATCGATCGTCGCTCGGGTCCTTGTCGTTGTCTCCGCTCTTCATGTTTGCAGCTCCGCCACCGCGACCGCCACGGCCTCCACGGCCTCGTCCTCTCCCTCCTCCTGCTCCTCTACCCTCTTGGCCTTGAGCAGGGGTCCAACCATCAGGGAGTTTGTAGCAGTCGCGCCACATGTGTCCGCTCTTGTGGCAATAGTGACACTCGCCGTCGAATCGGCCGCGACCGCGTCCGTAGCTCTTGTCGTCGCTGCCGTAACCCCCACTCCTGCGGCCTCCGCCGAAGTTGCTGCCACCAAACCTTCCTCCCCCTCGTCCTCTGCCTCTTCCTCGACCATATCCACGGCCGATGCTCGCTGCCCCAGCGCCATCCGCACTCGCCAACTCACGGCGGCGGAAATCCTCTTGAAGAATAGCTCGCTTCACGTCTTCAAGCGAGAGGCGGGGCAAGTCGCGATTAAGGTTGATGATGAGCGAGGACCATGACTCTGGGAGTAAGGCCAGCAACTTGGTCTTCTTTTGGAGCTCACTGTAGTTCAAATCAGCTCCCTCAAGCCGCGTCAACAAGTCGAAGAATTTCTGCACCCCTTCTTCAACCGCTTCGTCTTCTTCAATTCGTAGTGCCGCCATTTGCCGTTCCAACACCACCGCTACCGCCGCTGTTGCAGGAGCATGTACACCCTTGAGAGCAGCCCATGCCTTTGGTCCTTTCTCTGGTTCACGCTGGAATGGCTTGATGTGACGGATCTGACTGCTCCCCAACGCTTGCCCAAGTAAGAGATAGCCTTGTGCGCTCTTCCGCACCCACGGGCTCTTCTCCGGGTCGTTCTCGGGGCGCTTCTCCGTTCCTTCCATCACCTCCAGCAGGTCTTAGTGGTCAAAGATGTTCTCCATCTTGAAGGACCATTCAGCAAAGTTGTCACCGTTGAACTTGTCAAGCCCAAACACCCTAGGCTCATCCCTAGGTGGGCCAAGACTTGGTTGCATGGGCGCCATGGCTGAATCACGGGGTTGGCCTTGAGCTTGAGCTTCTCCACTGCCACCAGCACCTCTGCCACCCCTTTCCTCAGGTCCAGACATTGTCGAAACTGCTCCAAGGGGCTCTGATACCACTTGTTATAGTCACAATAGGCTTGAATGTGCCTAAAACGAAAGATAGAGAGCACAGACGGATTTCTGCACAGCGGCTTCAAACGTTGATAGCGTTCTGCTCACAGCTGCAAATGACTTGATTCAAATTGGATCTGGAGCGTCTTCACGTCGTCTACAATTAGCAATTTAGATTGCACGATTTGATAAAGAATTGACGACACAGCGTCGGTTTGAACGAACGGTACTATGGCAGCCACTATAGTCTTAGAACACAAGATAGGAAGAGTTACGAGTTGGGAATGACTCCCAGCTCCTACAAACCCCAAGAGCCGAGGTACAGTGATGTGGAACAGTGCCACACTTTCCCCAACCACGAAGGGTCTCGAAACTACCCTTCACTAGGGCCTACACCAAGTGAAATGTTACACTACACAAAGTAATGTAACTATCTTCAATATCTTGAGGTGTACCCTTTTGGCGAGCTTCGAAATCACTTGAGGCTTGACACCAAGGCTCGGGCTCTTCATCACAAACTCATCCTTGAGTTCTTGATGGGTCTGCTGCACACACCTGCGACACGCCGAACGTTCGACACAGGACAAAATAGAAACCGCGCACGACAAAATAGAAACCGCGCGCGAGACACAAACGACCGCGTAACACGCGTCTAGCGATAACTCGCTATTGACCCGACACACACACTCGACATCATGACTCAACATTCACACACAATTATAAGCATGAAATATATATTATCCCATGCCCTCATACCATTCCATACACACACACATTCACGCACACGGACAACAAGCCGAGTGCAAACCGTAGGGTTGCACCAACACCTTTGACTCGACAAAGGCAGCGCGACAGCAAGGACAAATAACTGACTCGCTATTGAGCAGTTACCCGAGTCGTCGCTATATCGAACCGCATTAGCAGTTACAATTACAGTTAGTGAAACCTTTCATATTCTCTGTAATCGTATAAAAGCCCTTGTATCTCTATGCTATAATAAACTCATCTTGTTCTCACATACTAGTGCAAGGTGGTTCAATTGGTTTACTAGTACGCTTCCGCTAATACATCACTACTGAGACTTTAGTCTTGAAAACGATCCTAAGGGCTTTTTCAGTCCAACAATGCTAACTTGGCATGTGTGTGAGTGAGCAGCACACGAGTTAGTGGTAGGACAAGGTGGGGCATGCCAGACTCCCTCCCGCCACCAGCCTGTTCCTCCTCCCGCCCCCCACCTCCCCCACCATGACCCCCGCCCCACTGCCCTGCTGCTCCACTGCCCTCTCCCAGCCTGCCCCATTGTACACTACATCACCCTCCTCCCTCCTCTCCTCCCTCCTCTCCTCTCTTCTCTCATCCCTCACCGCTGTGCTGTGCTGGCGGTGGTGGGGCAGCTCATAGCAAGCATTCATCGCGCACATCGAGTGCCGCCGCTGGGGCTGCGGCGACTGCCACCGCCCACACCGTCCCTGGCCCTCACCGCCTCCCACCACTTCACACCCACCATAACCATGCCCAACCTCACCCCCAACCTCATGCACAAACCCCTGCTGGTGCAGCTGCAGCAGGCGGGCATACATGCCCTGCCCTGAGCGCTGGCTAGAAGCACTGGAGCGAGCGGGGGAAGGCGAGGGCACAGATGTGGGTGCAGGCGAGGGTGCAGCAGCCCAGCAGCCAGCAGCAGGGGGGTGCTGGCGCTCAGCACTCTGCTGCATCCACTCCAGCTGCTGCTGCTGCCGCTGCTCCTGCCGCCGCCGCTGCTGCTGCTGGCCATTGCAGTCAGAGGCAGCCACAGGGGAGGAGGACGAGGGGGAGGAGGAGGAGGGGTTGGCCCCGGGCGGTGGTAGGGCAGCGTCGGGGACGTGGGCGAGGAAGTGGGCGATGATGATGCGCTCCAGGGCGGGCGGGGCGAGGCCTTTTTCTGCCTCAATGAGGCGCAGTGCGGCGGCCAGCGTGTAGACTGAGAGCTTGCGCTCACTGCCTCGTGTCACCTTGCTGAATATGATGTCCGCACTCTGGTGGGGGCGTGGGCGGGGCGAGGGAGGGGCAAGAGGAGAGAATGAAGAGGCAGGGATGCGTGTGGCGAGAGGGAATGAAGTAGGTTCGAGAGCCACTACGGCTGCAAGCAGGTTCGAGAGCGTTCAACAAGAAACACAGCGATATGCACAGCATTGGTTAGAAATTTGAGCACGAGAGCCCAAGAGCATGATGAACGCGGACAGCCGACAGCGGGGTGCAGCGTGCATGGAGAATAGCGTCTGCATGCTCCTTACGAACACACGAGGGGGGGCACACAGAATGAAGCAGGCAATGCGGGAGGAGCAGGAGGGGAAATGAGGGGCGTACGGTGGTGGTGAAGCGGGCGTCGAGGATGGCGGTCTCCTTGCACATCTTGATGAAGCGAATGCTGTCCATGCGCGGTGGTGGCAGCCCCTGCAGCTGATGCCTGCCGCACTGTGCCTGCTCACCCATCCATGGGCACACACATATTGCGTCGGCGAATGCATAATGTTAAGCATAGCCGGCTCGAAAGATGACTCACACGAGCATGCATGATGACCAAGAGAATGCAGTGTCTAGCAACAAGAGCATGGGTGTCCACACAGTGGCTCCACAAGAAATGGAGTTGAAGCGGGTGTGCGGCTCACGTCTGACATGCCATGCACAGAGCGGACATGTATACACTCAGGCAAGGGGGTGGGAAGAGCCACTGAGGCAAGGGGCAGAGAGAGTCACCAGGGGGACGAAGTGGTGGCGGGCGAAGTGGGGGAGGGAGAAGAAGCGGAAGGCGTCGAAGAACATGAGACTCGCCACCGCCCCCTCTGCTGCTGCTGCCGGGTCCTCATTAGATAGTCGCCCACCCGTGCTGCTGTTTCCATCATCTGCATGGTGTCACGTCAGCAGCAGACACAAGGAGCAGGAGGGAGGCCATTGGATACACCACAGCATGCTGCACACGCATTACCCACTCAATCACTCAGTTCAACTCGCCAACCCCCCACACAGCCACGCTCATTTCACCCCTCCCCCTCCTCTTCCACATCTCATTCCCACACTCTAGCTCTCGCACTCATTCTCGCCTTGCACGTGTGCCACCCCATGCACCACCCCATGCAACACCCCATGCACCACCCCATGCACCACCCCATGCACCACCCCATGCACCACCCCATGCACCACCCCCCATGCACCAACCCCCATGCACCACCCCATGCACCACCCCATGCACCACCCCCCATGCACCACCCCCCATGCACCACCCCCCATGCACCACCCCATGCACCACCCCATCCACTCTCACAGGCACTCTCACAGGCACTCACCATCATACTGTTGCGCGCCTCTGCCTGCTCCCCCTCCTGCCTGACCCCCGCGGCCCTGCCTCAAATCCTCTGCTGCTGCTGCTACAGCGGACACCATCGCTCGTCCCATGGCACCATCTGTCCAGCCCACGCCAATGCTGTCCCCATCGTTATCATTAGCAATCCCCTGCGCATACCCTCCTCTCGCAACCACCTCTTCCCCACCGTGCAAGTGCCCCAGTGTCTCATTATCCCTGCCTCCTGCTGCTTGCCTCTGCGCATACAGCTCCCCCCCTTGCGCGTTCTCATTCCGCTCGCCTGCACCCCTCCCCGCCTGCTGCCCTCCCTCCGTCCCCTTGCCGCCCTTCTCCGCCCCGCCCATCGCCCTGCCTTCATGCGAGTTGTGATCCGACAGTGATGACCTCAGCTCGCTCAGCGGCTCTGGGCGGCACGCCTCTCCTTCCGCCACGTGTCCTCCTGCCACCCGCGCGCCCGTGGCATGGGACACCCCGAAGCCGGCAGAAGCACTGCGAGCGTGCTCCTCCGCCTCTAGCAACCGCGTGCGGATGAGCCTCAGCCTCGGGGGGAACTCGTCGCCTGGCGGCACTATGTCCCCCGCGCCACCCCCCCCTCCCCCGAACCCCCCAGCGGAACCACTAGCGCCACCAGCAGCGGGTCGTCCGCCCCGGCCCTCCCTGAGCGAATAGGACGTGTGGGCGGCGAGGGGCGCGAGGGCGGCGGGGGAGGCGGGCGCAGCGTGCGCGGACGCACCGTGCGCGGAAGCAGCGTGCCCGGCGGCGGGGTGAGGGAGGGAGAGGCGGCGCGAATGCGCGGAGGAGAGGGTTTGGTGCGACGCGAGGAGCGACGAGGAGACGTGGTGGGAGAGCGTCATGGAGTGGCGCGTCGCGGACGTCAGCGCGGGCTGCGGCAGGTCCATGGCGATAGCCTACACGTGGCACGCGATGACAGGGACACGTGGACACGAGCACATGAGTACATGAGCACATGAGCACACGAGGAGAAGGACCAAGCGTGAGGCACTGCGACAGGGTTGGACTTGCAGAGTCACATCAGTGCGGAAGCGGAACTGCTGTGCCAACCCCCTTGCCCTAACTGACTTATCCCAGGTCACACCTGGTGGATAGGGTCATACCTGACAGTTAGGGTCGTACCTGGTGGATAGGGTCGTACCTGGTGGATAGGGTCGTACCTGGTGGATAGGGTCGTACTTGGTGGATAAGGTCGTACCTGGTGGATAGGGTCGTACCTATAGATAGGGTCGTACCTGGTGGATAGGTTCTTACCTGGCGGAGAGGGTCGCACCTGGCGGAGAGGGTCGCACCTGGCGGATGAGGTCGCACCTGGCGGAGAGGGTCGCACCTGGCGGATGAGGTCGCACCTGGCGGATGAGGTCGCACCTGGCGGATGAGGTCGGTGGAGGTGACGCCCAGCTTGTCGGCCATGACGGCCACGGCGTCGCAGAAGTTGTCGAACGTCAGCTTCTTGCGGCCCTGCACCCACACGCGCGGCACGCAGAACACCGACACATTGTCGCTCGCACCTCGGCACTCACACCTCGTCGCTCGCAGTTCGTCGCTCACACCTCGCCGTGCACGACAACGCAACACGAAGAAGACGAACAACAGAAAGGAACTCGCGGCGAGAGTAAGACCACGAGGTTCGAGGCTACACTTCTAACAGGTTCGCGGGTACAAATCCAAACACAAGGTCGCGGTACCCTAAAAAGCGTTAATGTTTAGGATTGCAAACACGGCATAACGGCTGGGGTCTGCATCGCGGCTAAACGACTAACAAAAGGCGTCGTGGGGCTCACGCGCGGCTTGATGGTGACGAAGAGCAGGTCGACGTCCGTGACGTGCAGCCCCGCGCCGCCCCCCCCGTGCGCGATGATCCCCAGGTCGCGACAGAACCGCACGAACTTGATGTTGTCCATCTCGTCCACCTCGCGCGCCGTGCCGAGGCTGCCACACACGCTCGGATGAAATCCAATCCAAGAAAGGGACGATTTCGGCAGATGAAATCAACTAGCTTAAGCGCGAAGCGACGTGAAGCTACGCTGGGCAATCTGCCGAGCAGACTACCCTAAAAGGTCTCATGAACCACATCCTTGTCTTTGTGTCGACTCAAAAACACATCCTTATCTTTGTTGCTACGAAAAGAATGATCAGGTCGAGCACGAACCAGCAATACTGGTTGAATATCTGGTATAGAGCGTCGTAGTCATCGTCCGAAGGGATCTGAAACCCGTCTACCGACGCCATTCCCTAGAGCGACCAGATGAATGCAAGAATTGCCGACGATTAGAATATAGGATGAACGCAAAAATCGCCAACGACTAAAATCTAGGATGAACGCAAGAATTGCAGACGACTAGACGATAGGATGAAGTCATGAATCGCCGACAACTGAACTAGTTTGAGATTACTTGGTGCAATCGCAGCAACAACTTGTAAAATTCGCAAGGTAAATGCTGAACGTAATCAGAAACCGGCGGTTGCTTGAGTGTAGAACGGCTATTGCTGCGTGCGCGAAAGCTAGAAGCAACTGAACTTGCTTGGCTTGCAATGCAAAAGAACGAGGTGAATGAGGTGGACGTGCGCTGCTGTTGAGCGGTTCTGTGATTGAACGACAGAGGGATGCTATCATGCGGCGCAGCCTCGCTCACGGTCGCAGCACACATCAAAGCCGGCCGTGCGGAGAGGGAGGGAGGAAGAGGAAGAAGGGTGTGGGCAAGAGGGTCGCTCGCACACACCAGACAGCGGCGGGTGGGGCCGGGAAATCTGCTGAAATTTGACCGATGCGCCCTGATGGCCATCAACGGCTAGATTGCTTTGGCGCCACTGCCAGCTCAGACGAATTTCAGTCAAATCGTTTTGGACGTACTAGCTTTACAGTGGCACTCGTTCCGGCCTTCAGTTAGCCAATGAAGGCGTGAAAATGGGACTGCCGTGGATTTCTCCACGTAATAACTTAGAAACTAAACTTCTAAAAATAAAACTCATGGAATTCGTGGGGTCTATTGGTTTGAGTTTTCCCTCATGCTATTTATAAGAGGGTTGGTATTTACGGAGGGTATTCTACTAGATTTTACCCTTCATTCTTATGCATGTAGCTGGGATATGCATTAAGGAGGATGTGCTGGTCACAAGGAAGGTTCATTGGGAATAAATATGTAGTAAGGTTTCATAGAAAGGTGTTGGTTCAAAGATTTTTTGGTGGAGGCAATGGAAGGATCACATGGGAGATATCTTGGGAGCCTCGAGAAGAAAGGCAACTAGGAAGGGTCCATGGTGGAGATTCCCTTGGAAATAGCTTGGAGATGAGGGTAATCTCAACGGGGCTCTCTCATTGGCGGGTTGGATTGCTAGAATCCTTGGCCAATAGGGAAATGATTCTTAGGATTGCATGAATAATAGAATGATTAGGTGGTTCGCGCCCTTGCTTACCGCGAACATGACTGTTCCTGCCACCGGCACCCGGCGTTACCCGCTCGCGACACTCCAGGGCTCCTGGTTATCAGACCAAATCGGTCTGATGGTCTGAAAACCATACCTTTTTTCTTTTCATCTGATTTTCAAGACCATCAAAATTATTTCATCTGATCCATAAGACGAAGGATTATATTTCGTCTGAAAAAAAAGTCCAAGTGTTTTAGTTCGTATGACATTTCAGACATCGCGTATTGTCAAAGTAACGAACGAGGATGAATGAACTAGCAAAGTGTTGGGTACAAGTACTAACCCTAATTGGGTTGTACCCCTTATGGGCTACCCCACTACAGCCTACACAAATGTATAAGCTATAATGTTCTGACACACCCCCATAGGCAAAGTGGGGGAGAACAAGTGGTCACAAGACCAGTCAGGAAAAGCAAAGCAAGCTCAGGGTGGATCACAAAGTCACCACACAGTCCGAGCACAAGCAAAGGGCCACAAGGCCAGTTCACATGCAGAGTTATATAAAGAGAACAAACAATACAGTGATCATACCCTAGCAAGTGCAAGCATGCAGATATATATATACATATATATCAAAGTACAAGCAGAGTCAAGAAGTAAGCAAGTGAGGCAAAGTAGGCACAAGGCCTAAAACAATAGCAAAGTGCTGATGATCACCAGACGGAAGTGCCTTGGTGAAGACATCAGCAGTGTTGGCCCAAGTGGCCACGTACGCAAGACGAAGCTGGCCACGCTGCTGCAACTCTCGAGCAAGGAAGTATCCCAGAGTGATGTGCTTCGTTCTGTGCTCCAGTCTGTGCTCCTGACACAAGGCAATCATGGCCTTGTTGTCTACGTACAGAACTGGAGGCGAACGAGGCTGCTCTCCCAAGTCAGTCAGCAGATAGGTGAGCCAGCGTAGCTCCTGAGCAGCCATGGCCCCGGCGTAGACCTCAGCCTCACAACTGGAGCTGAGAACCGAAGACGAGCGGGTAGACCGCCAAGAAACAGAACCGGAACCAAGGCTGAAGGTGTAACCCTGTGACGACCGCTGCGTAGCTGAGTCGTCAACCCAGGAGGCGTCTGCGTGACTAGTGAGAACAACTGGACCCCGTCCTCCAAGTACAAGCCCCATGCCCGACGTACTGCACAGGTAACGCAGTACCCTCTTCGCAGCATCCCAGTGCACCTTTCGGTGCCTACCGGGAGCCACGTAGCGAGCCAAAAGGCTGAGAGGGTACGCGAGGTCAGGTCGTGTGCACGTCATCAGGTACATGAGGCAACCCACAAGCTCTGGGTACGGACCACTCGGCTCTACGGACTCGTCCGAAGGTGGAGCTGAGAGCGAGTGGCTGGTAGACAGAGGAGTGGGCTGTGGCGAGGAGAACTGGAAGCCGAAGGGCTGAAGGACCTGGTGCACCATGTGTGACTGAGTCAGTGATAGTGCATCGTGCTCTGTTATGGGTGACATGCAAGCCAAGATAGCTGCGCAGTTCACCCAGGTCAGTGCAGGTGTGTCTCTTCTGCAGCTCCGACTTCACAAGGGACATTGCCTCAGTGTCAGCAGTGGCAAAGACGAGGTCGTCGACGTAGACGAGGATGTAGAACGGCGGCAGCGAGGTTTCGGTGCGTAGAAACAACGACGGGTCAGCAGTAGAAGGAGCAAACTCAAGAGCTGCAAGTGTGTCAAGATACTAAGCACCTAGGAAACTAGGTTTAGGCTTAGGATGCATAGTTAGGAGTAGGAGCTAGGGTTTTAGCCTTAGACAAAGTCGAAGTTCAAGCAAAAGGGGTGATTCAACTATAGAATGACAAGTACAAATAGAGGAGAAGCATGCAAGGAGTGGTGCACCACCACACAGGACAATAATGGTACTACACTACAGCTAGAACTACATGCGCTTATACAGAACATACATCAAATATATTCTGACACACCCCCTAAGTGCATGCAGGAATAGCCATGTGCAGAACACCCCCTGAAGTGGTACACCCTGCAGGGCGCAGCAGAAGAAGAGGCGAAGTGAGGAGGAGGGGGAAGAACTGTGAGAGGAGAGGAGATAGGAGGCGGCGGCTGAAGCTGCAGACACAGTGGCTACCGGGACAGCGCCCCGGACTACTGGAGTAACTGGCTCGGCGGCTACGAGGAGCGGCAAGAGCAACGGACCCACAGGCGACTGGCGCAGCAGGCTCGCTGGGCTACCGAGAGCACGAGGGCCCCGGACTACTGGCGTTGCTGGCGACACGACGGCTACCACCGTTCAACTTTCCCCATTGCCCCACACCCCCTTCTACAACACTAGCGCCACTCCCTCGGCTCCCCCACACTCCCTCGGCTCCCCCACACTCCCTCGGCTCCCCCCACACCCTCCCCCCCTCAGCAGCAGCTGCAGCAGTGGGAGAGAGAGAAGGAGGAGGGGCAGCTTACTCACACCCGCCACCCCCAGCTCCCCCCACACTCCCTCGGCTCCCCCCACACCCTCCCCCTTTCAGCAGCAGCTGCAGCAGTGGGAGAGAGGCCACCCCCATACCCTCCCCCCCACTGCCGCACATGCAGCATGGAGATGAAGGGGAAGGGTGGGGGGGGGTGGGCGGGGGGGCGGGGTAGGAGGTGCGCGGGCGACAGCAGGGCGCGCTGGCGGGCAGAACCCGTCGCGCGTCCAAGGCGCGCGACGGGCAGAAACCGTCGCACGCCCGGGGCGCGCGACGGGCAGAGAACCGTCGCACGCCCGGGGCGTGCGACGGGCAGGAAACCGTCGCGCGTCCGGGGTGCGCGACGGGGACGAAATCGCCGCACGCCCGGGGCGCGCGACGAGCAGAAAATCGACGCGCGCCCGGGGCGCGCGACGGGCAGAAAACCGACGGGATCCGAAATCGACGGGCAGAAAAACGGGCAGAGGGGCCCATGAGCGGAAGCGTAGTAGGCATAGGATCGAAACACTCTAATACCATGTCAAGATACTAAGCACCTAGGAAACTAGGTTTAGGCTTAGGATGCACAGTTAGGAGTAGGAGCTAGGGTTTTAGCCTTAGACAAAGTAGAAGTTCAAGCAAAAGGGGTGATTCAACTATAGAATGACAAGTACAAATAGAGGAGAAGCATGCAAGGAGTGGTGCACCACCACACAGGACAATAATGGTACTACACTACAGCTAGAACTACATGCGCTTATACAGAACATACATCAAATATATTCTGACAAAGTGTAGTCCTCAGTGTGTCGTGCCACTCACGAGGCGCCTGGCGGAGACCGTAGACTGGCCGCCGGAGGCTCTACTGGGTACCTGCAGGAAATGACCCAGTGAAGCCAGGTGGGCGGAGCAGCTAGATCTCCTCGTGCAGGCTGCCTGCAAGAAAGCTGTGCTGAAGTCAAGAGAGTGCAGCTCGTAGTCACGCTGAGCTGCGACGTGCAGCAACACCCAAAGAGTGGTCATCTTCAGGGTGGGAGAGAAGGTCTGGAAGTAGTCAACCCCCTGTCGCTGACTGAAGCCTCGATTAACGTAACGCGCCTTGAAGGCAGGCGGAGAACCCGGCGGCCGCTTCACCCTGAAAATCCACATGCCATCGACTATGTTCGCCAGAGACGGGAGAACTTCATCGACGTAGGTGCTTGTGGACTTCCAGGCTGCCATCTCGGCATCCATGGCTGCCTGCCACTGAGAGGAGTAAGGACCTGTAATCGCCTCTGCGTAAGAGCGCGGGGTCGGGATGTCTGGAGCATCCGGGTCTCCCTCAGGAGGAAGCAGCATGAAAGCGAAACGATGTACAGTAGCTGCAAGACTTTCAAAGTCCTCCTGCCTGTCCTCAAGGACGTCCGTGCCAA